TGTGGTGAGAGGAAAGTTGAAAACTTTTAATGATCAGGCTTTACCTTCAAGACGGTCAAATAGCTGAGACCCTCACAATCCCAGATACTGAACTGGCTTATATTTATTATTAGAATGTTATCAATTTGGGTCTAAGCATGCACCTTTTAAAAAAGACAAGAACAAGTTGTAACTCTGCTCCCTGGTATACAGCTGAGCTTTATTCATTCATTATATTTGTGTGACGGTTAGTTTGAAGAAATGGTGCAAACAGTAGTTTCATGTTTCTTCACATGTTTATCTCGCATGTGTCTCTGAAGAGTTTTACAGGGCTATGTAATCTAATCTGACTCTTTCATGTATTCATTATTTTTGCCCCTCTCCCTAGCTCTAAAATAACAACATCAAGGGTGACTCATTCAGCTGTGAGTGTGTTTTCCTGTCATGGAGTCTGATTGGAGAGAGTCCAGTTAAAGAACGGCTCTCTGTCGGGTCCTCCCTCCTTTTGCCTACTGTGAATATAGAGCGGTTGGGAATGCAGAGACAGGAAAGGCACACACACTGGACAGCACTGTCATGATTTGGTCTGTTTTAGTTTTGTTTAGATTTATTTATCTTTAGTTCTCAGTCTTCCCTGGTGTTTCCTTGTGTGTTTTTTCTAGATTAGTCATTAGTGTTTCCTGTGTTATTTTGTATCCTCGAGTCCTCTATGTTCTAGTCTGTACATATTTTTCATTCTTTGTAAGTTATCAGTGTTGTTTGTCATGTGTTGGTCCTTGTCAGATGTAAGTTTGCTCGTGCTCCTGTGATTCTTGTGGCTCCCTTTGTTGCTTTTTGTTTTGTTGTTGAGCAGTAAGTCTTGTTTTTTGACTTTTTGTTTAAAATAAATATTTTTAGTTCTTCTGCACTTGAGTCCTACTCCCTTGTTTTACACACCGAACCATGACAAGCACAGTTACACACGTGGTGGGGAATCCCTTTTTTGCCCAGAGTTGCCTAATTGCCTATTTCTAATTGAAGGTAGTTTAGGGAATGTCACAGTTTTACTTTTCCACTCCCCCTGCCATCCCTACTACGAGTTCTGCCTCTACAACCCAGTTTTCTGTCTGCCTCTCTTCTTGGCTGCGTGGGGTTTCCCTGTAGCCAGAGCCAAAACTCACTGCAGTGACTTTTCCTCATTACTCCACTGTTTACCCTGTACCTGTGTTTTTATTGCCCCATGCAGTCACATAGAAGATTGACATTTAATAATGTTGAAAGTGATGTGTCAATATGAATAAATCTATTTTGTGGACGGCCCACTCCCTGTACCTTCAGTGGCAGAGGTCCAGCTGTTTGCATGTCAGTGGGTAGGCCTCCACATGAGCATTAAACTCACATGTTTATCTCTGTGATCATGTGGCATCTATCATCTCTTCTGACAGCATTTGTTTCAAATGTATTTAGATACGTCTGTGATGTAATTGACAACTCATAAACATTTCTGTTATTGAATCCTTCATTCTGTAAAAAGTCAGAATCATTCACAGATTCAGCTGCAGTAGAAGAAGAAGGTGTCAGCTTTACGCCTATAGAGTCAATTCCTTTGTGAATAGAAGCATATAACATATAAAAGTAATAAAACAACATATCACTTTCCCCAAAAGAATAATTTATTGATTCATTTGTACCACCATGATGTACCAAATATCGTCAACCCACAGCAAATAAACAACCTTTTACTCTTCACAGACTCATTCTTAATAAGTTCATCTTTCTTTGTTTGTCTGGGCCAGCAGTACCATCCTAAAATCTCTTCAATTATTCATACAGTCAAAACTTTGGTCCATATTTTTAAATAAAAAAAACATAATTTGGAACAGGAAGGAGATGAGAACACAATTGGAAAACGACAGCAAGGAGAAATACAGTGAAATGACTTTAAGGCCTCATTAGGTCCACAAAACACAATCATCTCTAAAAGTGGAATGTCATGGAGTGCATTTGTGCATAGCGAATAGTTTTTTTCAATTAGCTCTTTGATGGGAAGGCAAGGCAAGTTTATTTATATAGCACATTTCAACAACAAGGCAATTCAAAGTCATCAAGACATCAAAAGCATCATGACAGAAGAAAGAAAAGAAACATTAAAATAGAACATTAAAAAAAGAAAATCACTGGAATTATTAAATCTGAACATATGTTCAAATAAAAATAATTCAAATGAAATTAATTGAAATAAATAAAGAAAATATAAAAAGAGTTAAAAGTTAGAGTGCAGAGTTAAAATTTAAAATCTTATTAAAATTGTTTAATGAAAGGCAGCTGTAAACAGGTGAGTCTTCAACCTCGATTTCAGCAGACCTGCAGTTTTCTGGGAGTTTGTTCCAGATATAAAGAGCATAGAACTGAACGCTGCTTCTCCGTGTTTGGTTCTGACTCTGGGGACAGAGAGCAGACAGAGAACAGACAGAGAGCAGACAGAGAGAAGACAGAGAGAAGACAGAAGAAGACAGAGAAGACAGAGAGAAGACAGAGAGAGACAGAGAGAAGACAGAGAGCAGACAGAGAGAAGACAGAGAGAGACAGAGAGCAGACAGAGAGCAGACAGAGAGCAGACAGAGAGCAGACAGAGAGCAGACAGAGAGCAGACAGAGAGCAGACAGAGAGAAGACAGAGAGAAGACAGAGAGCAGACAGAGAGAAGACAGAGAGAAGACAGAGAGAAGACAGAGAGAAGACAGAGAGCAGACAGAGAGCAGACAGAGAGCAGACAGAGAGAAGACAGAGAGAAGACAGAGAGCAGACAGAGAGAAGACAGAGAGAAGACAGAGAGAAGACAGAGAGAAGACAGAGAGCAGACAGAGAGCAGACAGAGAGAAGACAGAGAGCAGACAGAGAGCAGACAGAGAGAAGACAGAGAGAAGACAGAGAGCAGACAGAGAGAAGACAGAGAGCAGACAGAGAGCAGACAGAGAGAAGACAGAGAGAAGACAGAGAGCAGACAGAGAGCAGACAGAGAGAAGACAGAGAGAAGACAGAGAGAAGACAGAGAGCAGACAGAGAGCAGCAGAGAGCAGACAGAGAGAAGACAGAGAGAAGACAGAGAGCAGACAGAGAGAAGACAGAGAGCAGACAGAGAGCAGACAGAGAGCAGACAGAGAGAAGACAGAGAGCAGACAGAGAGCAGACAGAGAGCAGACAGAGAGCAGACAGAGAGAAGACAGAGAGAAGACAGAGAGCAGACAGAGAGAAGACAGAGAGAAGACAGAGAGCAGACAGAGAGCAGACAGAGAGCAGACCTGTCCCAGACGACCTGAGCGGTCTGGATGGTTCGTAATTAATCAGGAGGTCACTAATGTATTTTGGCCCTAAACCATTAAGCGCTTTATAAACCAGCAGCAGGATTTTAAAGTCTATTCTCTGACAGACTGGGAGCCAGACCTCAGAACTGGACTGATGTGATCCTTTTTCTTGGTCTTGGTGAGGACTCTAGCAGCAGCGTTCTGGATCAGCTGCAGTTGTCTGACTGATGTTTTAGACCTGTAAAGACACTGTTGCAGTAATCAAGACGACTGAAGATAAAAGCATGGACAAGGAAGGGGAGATAATGTTCCGATGGCTGAGCATCACACACTGGGTGGTTGCATAGGCAGGAAGGCGGGCTCACATTTCCTGTCATACACAAATAAAAACATGATTAATGTCTTGTGGTAACAAAGGAGCAGTAGTTTAAGATGTAAATAAAACCCAGGCTGACTGTGTTTAGGGTTTGTTAAAGTGTGATTAATACAGGTTGGATGCAGCAGTCAACATAAAGTCAACTTGTTACCTCTGTCTGGCTTCTCTCTACTGTTGTCTTTATTTTTCAGGTTCACTTTTTATTGGACAGCGTGTACATGCACCAGATTTAAATAAAGGGCTTCATGGATTTAATCAGAGGTTTAATTCAACAGTTATAAACCACAAAGTATACTAACTGTTAGCTTGGTCACACTTTCTTACATTTTGTTTGTAGCACGATTTCCCATTTTGAACTTTGAAGAGCTCAAACTAACTAGAACAACCCACTGGCAGAGGAGAAGTATTAAAAGTGGATTTGACTATTATTATAAATATTATTACTTGATCTCTTTTTTATTTTCATTTAGGTATTTTTAATTTCTTTATTTACTATGTCGGTACATCATCATGTATGTAGATGTCCTTTTGAATGTGTGTCGTCTGTTGACTTTGATTCACATGTCTGATTATTTCATTAACTATCTCCTCCTGTTGTCATTATTGTGCACAAGTGAGTGACTGTATGAAAAACATTTGATACATCTGTCTGTGGTGAAAAAAAATCAATATGGAAAACAAAGTGGATTCAACACAGATAATAAACTACAACAGCTTCCTTCATGTTTGGCACTTCCTCGAGCAGATCCTGGGATTTAGGTGATTCTGTTGCAGTAACATTATGTGTGTTGATGATATACTACCTATATACATTAAAGTACTGACCCTGAGATTTTCCGTACTGAGCTGCTCACAAGAGCAACACAACGCAGGCAGCAGCAGTTAAGATAGATGCCAGGTGAGCCCTCTGGTAGTGAGCAGAGTTTTGGGATCCAGTGGATGTCTTAGACTCTGTAAAACAAAAACAAAAAAGACAACAAGATTTTTTAGCAGCTGTGAGGCTGAGAAGACCAGCGAGAACCTGAAATTCAGCTGGTTAGGTGTGAGTTCCCAAAACCAGAAAACAGTGAAGACACACAAACATTTCAGACAACCTGTCACATGGTCTTCACTCCTTAAGAAATCCCAGAATTGTCACTCTGAATATTTGTGGATGTCAGTGGAGGTGTTTTTAAATTGGGCCTTTTTTTTTTCTTTAAAAAAAAAAAAATAAAAAAAAAAAAGGGTCCAGCTTGGCCGAAATTAATCCATAATGGTTTATTTATATAAGCGCAGACAGTACCAAAGCAGGACGCTTTTTGCTCTGTAGCACAGTTCGGAGTGCATTTGACCCTTTGCGTTGTGATTTTTTCCGGTGCCTTTTTGTCTCATTTGCAGGATGCAAAAGCTGAGAAGTCCTTTTGTGGATCAGGCCCTGTGAAGTCCGGATGAGCTGATGTGTGAAAGCAACCGGTAATATTCTGTTAGAATCATGGTGAGTGAGACCGAGAGGTGTTGATGATGTTCATGTTGAGTTTCTCTGCTTTATACTCAGTTGTCCTTTTGATGTATTCTACTGTTGTTATTGTATTGCATAAACTTCTTATACATGTGATAGTAACACAGAAACACTCACCATTATTGAATACTCGTCTTTGATATGCTGCCCACTTAACCTACAGATAACCTCCAGTTTTGAGTTTGATGCTTGAAAGACGATTCAGGATAAATAGAATCGGTAAATCAGGAGTTACCATAAAATGTCTGAAAATTGTCAGTAGTTCATGTGTCAAAGTGTTTAAGATCTTCTCCAGTTGTCTTTTTGAAGTCTTTTTTGAGTCTTTTGCTTGTGAATTTAAATGACATTGTTGTGAACTCTCAACAACAATTTGTTCTTCTCTTCATATTTTAATATTTTTAGTGTAGGCCTATGTCACACATAATAAAGAATTCATCCTCCCCCCATGAAAACACACACACACACACACACACATACACAAACCTGAACACACATTTTGGCATGTTAAAACACTCACCAGACACAGTGACTTCATAGTCTTTTTCAAGAAACTTGTTGTCTCCATTAGTGGTTTGTATCACGTAAACGTCGCTGTCCGCCACGTTTAGCGGCCCAAATGTCAAAGAGCCATTTTCTCTGTCCAGTTTTCCTTCAGACATCTTAGAGAGCTCACACTCCACTTCTTCTCCATCACATTTGATGAGTGTGTCTTTTTGGGTGCCATTCTTCAAATACAACCAAACAGAATATTCACCACGTAGATCAGTGAATCCGGTCAGCAGAGTGATTTTTTCTCCAGCTTTCACGTTCTTTTTCTCACTCGCTTTGACGGCTAAGACAAAGACTGAGAGAGAGAGAGAGAGAGAGAGAGAGAGAGAGAGAGAGAGAGAGAGAGAGAGATGTTGGGGTAAGTAACACAAGAAATGGATCTCACTTTGGTGTCTTTCCTTTTAAAAATGTGTTACTCATAAAGGCTACCTGTTACATCCTTCGGTTTAAAAGTTTGACATCATTTATTTATAACAGGTTACATTTTTTCTGCTAAAATCCACCATTACAACATCAGATCATCTGTAATCAGTCAATCTTTATTCTTGTATAGCGTCAAATTAAATGTTATCTCAAGACCCTTAACAAAGAGCAGGTAAAACACCTTACTCCTTGTTTTATGATAGGGGATACCTATAGTTGCCCTGAGACATCAAAACAGCACAATTTAGGAAGACAAAAACAAGTTATTGGGGCCCTGTCAAAAGTAGGCTACCAAATCCTGAGTGTTTTATAGATGGGACTATTTATTGAGTAGCCTACATTTTGCAATGTCATAATAAATAATAATTTTGAAGCAGACTGCCTTAAAGAAAGACCCTACACCAGGGTTTTACAAACCTGTTGTTTTCACAACAGTAAATGAATGCAGCCTAACTTTACAATTAGCCTATAACGTGTTTTCCTCCACTTCCCCCACACTTGGCCTTAAACGTTTAACAGTTACATTTTAGACCATAAGTACAGATATTTCTGTTTTCAGAGAGTTCGTGGTAACATGGCAGTACCCTTTTTTTTAAGGTTTGAAGCATTTTCCCTACAATGCTTAAACTTTGTAGTCACTATGACAACAATGAATCCTCTGTGTAACCTAAAAAATACATTATGATATCTATAATAACAGTCTGATATTATAATATGGGATTAAATCAGGCAGAGGCTATGAGCAGAAAACGGCACACTGCAGACATTCAAGTGCGTCCCTCAAATGCTAAAGGAGAGAAACGAGCATACGCGCCTACTACGTCACAGTGATCCCTCAATGCCTCCTGTGCCCAATGATGAACTGTATAGCACTCAATCACGAACCCAGTATCCACTTGTGGTTTCAAAGAGGTTATCCAACCGACTCAAGTTTCCGCTATTGTAGTCTCCTCGTAGTGTTATCTCCACAACCACATCACAATCACAAGCGGGACGCACATGTCTAAATATGTCATCATCCACTGTGCAGGTTATGGAGACATGTTTCCACTCGGTAAAATCCGGGTTTTGAGAGACACCCTGTAAGTAGCCTATCGTAAAATAAATCCTCACAATCAGGTTACAACTTTTAACACTCATAAATCGGGAGGTTGACACAAGTTAAACTCGAGATATTCCGGTGATTTTTTTTCCTTTGAATTCTGATTTTAGCTCGGCCTTTGTCGGGATCTGATGGTTTTGAAACAGTTTTACCAAACGTGTTTATTAGTAGAGAAAACCTGCGCTAACATCTGTGTGCGAGTGAACAACTGGAGAGCAGCGAGCGGGAGAGAGAGCAGTGAAGCCGTCAGCTGAACGTGCAGTCAGCTGGACTCTGTCATTCATTCATCCGGGACAGCGAGACACTTATAATGTCGAGCCCAGTCGAACTCCTAAAAGCCTGCTTTACCAAGAATGTGTTTAAGACTGACAAGCTGTCAGATTTGATTTAGATAAAATGAAGATTATGAAAAATAAAGTTATTTTAAACAAAAAAGTAATCATGAAGCAGAAGCAGCAGGTAAGATGGAGAGATACCTTAAAGTCTAGGTGAGTGTTTAAACTTGCAGATCTGTTCTTTTTATCTAACCTCCAAAGTTTGGAGGGAGGTGTTTTGAACCGGCAGCTCACAGAATCATTAAAAGTCATCTATCACCTTAATATGTCTGAACTAAATCATAAAACCTTGCTGATGAGAACCCTTTCAAATATGACAAGCTGCTTACGATTTACATTAAATGCATGAAAAAAAGTTGTTTGTACTCACAGACAGCAAATGTGAACATCAGTGTAACCCTGGAGAACATGGTGTGTAAAGCTCTGCAGCAGTTTAGAGAAAGAGAGTCTTATCACTGTGACAGACAGTGAGTGAGTGAGTGTTGCACTTCTTCATTTACACCGACTGCTGCCCTTCCTCCCTTCCTCCCTCCCTCACACACAGATCCTCCCTCCCTCACACACAGATCCTCCCTCCCTCACACACAGATCCTCCCTCCCTTACACACAGACATCTTCGAAGAGAGGGGTGTCGAGGGAAACAGTTTTCTGTCTGCCTCTCTTCTTGGCTGCGTGGGGTTTCCCTGTAGCCAGAGCCAAAACTCACTGCCTCACAGTGTACTCTTTGTAGAGTGATGTAGCTCATTGTTTGGTAAGTAATCTCCCAGAATGTAATTCAGAGGAGTGAGTAAAGTATGGACTGGTTTAAATCTTTAAGCCATTTGTTCCTCATCAACTACAAACTGATTCCTCCAACAGAGTGACCTTCAGTAACTCAGACAAACATCTTACGGCCTCTTTGTCCAAACGTCTGAGGAAAACTTGTCACTTGTCATCATATTAACGTTATCAAGGCTACTGGTAAATGGTAAATGAACTTGAGCTTGTATAGCACTGTAGTCTTCTGACCACTTAAAGCGTTTTTACACAGCAATCACACCTTCTCATTCACACACTGATGGCAGAGGCTGCTATGTAAAGAGACCATCAGAAGTAACTAACACCATTCATACACATTCATACACCGCTGACAGAGCAGCAGGAGTAACTTGGGGTTAAGTGTCTTGCCCAGGGACACATCAGACATGTAGCTGCAGGAGCTGGGGATCGAACCCCCAACCTTCCAGAGTGAAAAATGACCGACTGAATTGAGCCACAGCGGCCACTAAAGCTCATAACTGATAGAGGATATAGCTTCAAATACAGATAGCTTCCAGTGAACATCATTAAAAGAGGGGTGCCATAGTCCAAGTGCATTCACTTATCTTGCCTGTTTTCACATTTAAATTGGCAGTGAATACTTTTAAACTGTGTGTGACATGGATGGGGGTATTCATTAATTAACATCTCCAGACTCACACAATTGCCCACTAGCAGAAGAAAAGGGAAGAAATTACTATCCAGCATTTGTCATTTCTTCAGTTTTAGCCTTACCAACGACAGATAAGTTGGATCAAAGTACAAATCAAATGTTTATCAAAGGGACAAAAATAACTGGAAAGCTATAGGTTCAATAGTCTGAGCCTGAGACTGAAGCTGCATAAAACAACACATAGAAATGAGTTTACAGTGGAAATGACTCCCACACATCATGTCGGGTACGACCTCTTGCATATCTCTCACCAAAGAAACAAACCACACACACACCACAGTCGTTTTATTGCACGTAACAGAATCATTAATAGTCACGTAATACCTTGATATGAACACATTTGACATCCTGATAATAAGAACCCTTTACACTTAATCAGCTGTTTGACATCTTACAACATGCCAGATTTTACTTAAATATATTTATAGTTTTTACATAGACAAGAGTAAAAAGTAACTGCTGACTTCTTTGCGGTGGCCATGAAGGTCAACTGTCTAAATAGCAGGTGAAATATATTTGCAGCAGGTGAAATATTTAGACAGTTGACCTTCAGGGCCACCATACTTCTTAACCCCGACTGCTTTAATGATACAACACCGTTCATGAAAAACACGTCACCAATGTGAGGCATGAGTCATGTTTTTCTTGAGTGTGAATTCCCTCTCCATCTGCTGTTGAGGACTTGAGTGCTTACTTCATGAATGTTGTTCCTTATTTGAACAACAGACATTACTCAACAGCAGAACAATAGCTGTGAAAAAAACAGATGAGCTCCTCAACCTGTCCTCCACGTCCTCCTCCATGTCTCTCCATCTGTCCGTATACCTGCCCAGTACTTTAAAGTTTTAGTTTAAACCCTCAATGACACAATATTCTATGAATCTTTTCAAATGCAGACACTGAAGAAGTAGTCAGACACTCTGTTAGAGTTATATTGTCGGACTGTTATTTCACTGTGATTGTCTGAGTGTGGAATTGGAGGCAAATGATATGACTTAATCACATCCAAAAACTCTGAATGCTGTATACAAATAGGAAACCAAAGAACAGAATTCTGTAAACAAGGAAGAGGGGTACGTCAGGGATTCAACTTGTCCACTACTCTCTTCAATATCTTTATTAATAAACTAGCAACAACTTCAAGAACATGAACTGGAAAAACATTTTAAAAAACTAGTTCCATCAACAGATTGAAATAAAGTAAGCTGCAACAGGACAGTACTTTTGTATGTAAATATTCAGCCTTATTATCACTGGCAAACAGCCAGCTTCACTGTGAGGAAAACTGCTGAGAGAGACAATTCTCAGAGCGAGACGATGAAAGGCTTAAAAACTCAGAGACAGACAAAGGTAGGGGAACCTGAAGGGCAATTACACCCAACACGACATTATTAGGTTGGCCCTGAAATGCAAAGCACGACGACAAATTAGAAAACACAACAAGAAATAAGAGAAAACAACATTAACTACTAAAGGAAAAGGTAGGTATCTGCAGTGGACAAGGATTGTTGCTGATTGGACGAACACAATGTCTGTCTTTTTAACATGAAGGTTATGTTACTTTCGGGTGTTGATTTCAAAACATGAGTTCAACAGGTGATTCAGACTTAGTCTCTACTATCAGAAAATAATTTGATTACCACAATTTGGGCAATACATCATGATACTTTTGATCATCCTGCTCCTCTTCCTTCGTTAACCTTTTCTCTGCCTGGTATGAAGCATATCTTCCCTGTTACTGTAAAAAAACGGACTTTGCATTCGTCCAATCAGCAATGATTATTGTCGAGGTATACCTACCTTTCCCGTTAGAAGTTAATGTTGTTGTGTTTTCTTTTTTCATCTGTGTTTTGTCGTTGTTTTTCTGATTTGTTGTTGTGCTTTACACTTCAGGGCCACCGTAAATTACCCCTATCATGTCTCTCTCTCTCTCTCTCTCTCTCTCTCTCTCTCTCTCTCTCTCTCTCTCTCTCTCTCTCTCTCTCTCTCTCTCTCTCTCAAGTTCAAGTTCAAGTTGCTGTATTGGCATGAAAAGGCGAAAAGTGTTGTTCCTATACCAGTGGATGTACAAAACAATGACATGTTGTTGTTTAATTCTACTTAAAGTATATAGGCTGGTTAATGATATTATAGTACCGTTAATAAGGCAGAGGATAATGACACAATGTAATGAGTCTGACATTTTGATGACTATAGAAGTGTGTGTGTGTGTGTGTGTGTGTGTGTGTGTGTGTGTGTGTGTGTGTCTCAGGCTGTGGCTGAAGTGCAGCTCCTCTGGAGAAAGTGCATCTCTGTCTTCCCCTCATGAGCAGTGAGCACAGAGTTGTTCTTCATGGGGCAGCCATGTTTGTTTGAGTCGCCCTGTTTGTGGTCACTGAGACTATATTTGGTCACAATCAGTCTCTGCTTCCGGTCTCTAACAGAGTGGAGATGATCAGCCATTTCATATATACTTTATCTAAGGTTGAATAACAATTGAGTTGACTTTGGGATTTAGTTTCCTGTGTTCTTTCTGTAAGTTGTGGTTGCTGCTTCCTGCCTGTCTGCCCTTCTCTTCTTCTCTCAGTCCGAGGGAGACTCAGAGCACATTATTACTGCTATTCCACCTTGTGAACTTTTGAAAAAGGCAAGGCTTCCCATTCAAGAGACATGATGACACGGAGCTAAGCCACAGGCAAAGCAACTTTAACTAACTCATGAAGCAACTCAAACAACTCAACTTTTACAAGAATAAACTCCTCTGAGTCATACCACCGACCTCTTATCATTCACAAAATGAAATAACAAGCAGTTTTTGTTTTTTTTGGGGGGGGGGTTCCAAGACTGCTGCAGTGTGACACTCATGCAGCTCTCAAAAACTAGATGAGCAGGTGACGACTGTCATTTTCATGATGTGTCATCTTAACATGTCTCAGAAACATGAACACATCCATGGCACTAGAGACACAGTCAAAGCTCTGCCAGCCTGAGACGCTCTACAGTACATGCTGATGATATTTTCAAAATGTCCTTTGTTTGAAGTGCAACACAGACGTCTTAATTTCAAACACTGCCTGCTCCACGGTCTTTAAGCTGGACTAATAGACTGCAGGCAATGTGTTTCATATCTCTTGAGTCTGTTGCCTTTGGAGATCTAATTAATGTACTTACAAATTGAAAATAAGATAAGATTAGATAACACTTTATTTTCCGTTTGAACGAAAATGTGTTTTGCAGTTCAATCTCAGAGATCCTCGCACACCAACCACATCTCTTCACATTTAAGACAGAAAAGGCAGTACGTGACTGCTTGTCTTCATTGATGAAAAAGTGACTATGTGCAGAAAAGTATCAAATTGAGGATGCATTGTGATGCATCGTGAGACTGAATCGAATTGAATAATAATCAAACCAAATCAAATCCTTAAACCAGTGAAGATGCACAGCCCTGATTAATTCCTTTATTTTTTTCACATCATAAAATATATCACAAAGAGAAAGGAAACTGAAGTGCTGTTTTTTTTCCTTCAATATAATGCAACCTTTTATAGGATTCAAATGAAAAAAAAAAACGTGTGGTTGCCGAAAAGATTCATAACGCAAAGGTTAGAGAAAGTGACAGTCCCAGACACAGCTGTTGTGTTTCTCTTGCTGGTTATGAAAAATGAACTGTGACCCTTTTAATAGCTGCTGTACTTAATAACCCTCTGTCTGTACTGTATTTCTACAAACATGTCAATACTCTTCTCCTTTATTCTCTCTCTTTCCCGTGTGTGAGGCTCTTCTTTCTGGGGTTTGTGAGTCAGATGTTATGGCTGCTTACGCGCCTTTCATTCATGGTGGTTTTCTATCTGTGCCAGGAAGTGTGATTTACAGGGCGGCAGTAGCTCAGTCTGTAGGGACTCGGAGAAAGGCCACATGAGAAACATACCGGTGAATCATACAAGCTTGCTCAGGCTGCGCACAGTGAATGGAAGAAACTATTTGCATGACGGGATGAAGTGCATTAAATAGAGCGACACCCTCTG